TTGGACTTCCAACTGACTGCAGTGCCGAAGACGGTGAAGATGAATCCGGTTAGTGACTTCCTGGTGTCAACGCTTCCCGCATAATCAGAGTCCACATAGCTGACGATCTTTTCATCTTTGTCCTCCTGCCGTTTAAAGAGCAATCCCAAATCAGTGGTACCTTTTTAGGTATCGCAAGATCCACTTTAGAGCTTCCCAATGGGCCTGTCCTGGATTTGCCATGAATCTGCTGACAATACTGACGGCGTAGGTCAAGTCTGGTCTACTGCACATCATCCCATACATAATGCTACCAACCCCATTGGCATAGGGGACACCTTCCATGTATCTTTTTTCCTCTTCATTCTCAGGAGCCTGAGAGTTCGACAATCTAAAATGCTGACCAATTACTGTTGAAACCTGCTTGGTCTCATGCATGTTAAACCTTGCTAGAACTTTTTGAGTGTATGTCTTCTGAGACAAGAATAAGCTGCCCTTATTTCTGTCTCTAGTAATCTTCATCCCTAGGATCTTTGTAGCAGGTCCTAGGTCCTTCATGTCAAATTCTGAGTTCAGCATACCTTTGACTTTCTGGACTTCCTCATTGCTTCTGCTGGCTACTAACATATCATCCACGTATAGAAGTAAGTAAGTACTTATATCACCATCTTGCTTCTTCATATAGACACAACTGTTGTTTCTGACGAAGCCAATCTTCAGCATAAACTCATCAAATGTTTTGTACCATTGTCTTGGGCTTTGTTTCAGTCCGTACAAAGATTTCTTCAACAGGCATACTTTATCCTTGGTTTTAGGTGTACTATACCCCTTTGGTTGATCCATGAAGATGGTTTCTTCCAACTTTCCGTGTAGGAATGCAGTTTTAACATCTAGCTGCTCTAATTCCAAATTGAATTGAATCGCTAGTGCTAAAACTATCCTAATCAAGCAGTGCTTTACAACGGGCGAGAAGATTTCATTGAAGTCAATTCCTTCTACCTGTGTGAACCCCTTTGCTACAAGTCTTGCTTTATACCTGACCTCCTGGCTGCTTAGGATGCCTTCCTTTTTCTTGAAGGTCCACTCACAACCAACGACGCGTTGGTTCTTTGGCCGATCCACAAGTTCCCAAGTCTTATTCTTCATCAGGGAAGCTATCTCTTCATCCATAGCATCTACCCACTTGTGTCTTTCCTTGCTCCTTAGAGATTTCTTGTAGCTTTTCGATTCTGCTTCTTCTATCTCTTCTACGATGCTCAATGCATAGGAGATCAAATCTGCATGACCATATCTCTCTGGCGGTCTGATGATTCTTCTCTGCCTATCTCCCACCAACCTGTAGTCATTTGATATAACTTCGGATTCAGTTTCTTGCAGGTCTGTTGCCGCTTCATCTTGATTGTTTGCAACAGTCCCTTGATCCATCAAGATTTGTTGATATTGCAGCTCCACCTCAAATGGAGTATCCTCCTTGGTAGTACTATTCTTGGTAACGTAGCTTTGCATGTTTATCATTTTGGACTCATCGAATACCACATCTCTACTGATGATGCATTTCTGTTGATCTAGACACCACAGTTTGTAGCCTTTGGTTCCAGGTGGATAGCCGATGAAAATGCATTTTAAGGCTCTTGCTTCCAGCTTATCCTGTCTAACATGAGCATATGCGATACATCCAAAAATTTTGAGATTTTCATAGTTACCTGGTTTCCCGTACCACATCTCCAAAGGAGTCTTCATTCCAATAGCTGTCGATGTACATCTATTGATAAGATAGCAAGCGGTTGACACAGCTTCACCCCAGAAAGATTTGGGTAGGCCGACATTTAGGAGCATGCACCTCACTCTCTCTAAGAGAGTCCTATTCATCATTTCCGCCAAGCCATTCTGTTGAGGAGTGTTCCGGACTGTCTTGTGCCTCGTAATGTCATTCTTCCTGCATAACTCATCGAATTGTTCTGAACAGTACTCCAGGCCATTGTCAGTTCTCAAGTGCTTCAGTTTTGCTTCCATCTTGTTTTCGGTGAGGGTTAACCAATTCCTAAATCATTGAAAAGCTTCATTCTTGGTTTTAAGGATAAAGACCCATACCTTCCTTGTGTAGTCATCTATGATAGACATGAAGTACCTCCCTCCTCCATGAGTTTGAGTTCTGGCTGGGCCCCATAGATCACTATGTACATAATCAAGTGGTTTCTTTGATGTGTGAGTTCCGGTAGAGAACTTCACTCTGGTAGCCTTCCCCAACACACATTGTTCGCAGAACTCCAGTTTACTGACTTGATCTCCACATAACAGGTTCTGTCTGGACAGTTCTTGTAAGCCTCTTTCACTTACATGTCCCAGTCTCATGTGCCATAGTCTGGTCCTGTCGGGTTCTGATCGTACTGCGTTGGAGAAGCCACCAATTACAGTTCTTCCAATTAGGGAGTAGAGTCCATTCTTCCTGACTCCTTTCATGACAATAAGGGAACCTTTGACTACTTTGATGCAACCACTTTTTGCCTTGAACGAGTATCCACTTGACTCCAGCGTACCTAAAGAGATCAGATTTCTTTTTAGTTCGGGAATGTACCTGACTTGTTGCAGCATTCGTTCGGCTCCATCGAACATCTTAATTCTGATTGTTCCGCTGCCGACCACCCTGCAAGCCTTGTTGTCCCCAAGTAATACGGACCCACCATTTGCTAATTGCAGCGTCTCGAACCAATCCTTGTGAGGACACATGTGGAAAGAGCACCCCGAGTCGAGGATCCACTCCTTGTTGGATTCCGATTCGGTGATCACCAGTGCTTCAGCTGAATCAAAGCCATCCAAGGCTATGCTTGCTTCTCTGGGATCTTTAGGATTTTCTTGAAATTTCTTCTTCCTCTCCGGACAGTTTCTCCGGAAGTGACCTTCCTTATGGCACTGAAAACACTTGTAAGATCCTTTCGTCGACTGACTTTTGTCCTTCTTTCCTTTCTTTGATCTTGATCTGCTTTGATTGTTTCTTGAGCCCTTTTTATCTAATCTTCCTCTAATGGTAAAACTGTCCCCGCTGATTTCTTCGTTCGTCTCGAGCTACTTTTGGAGTTCTTTGGCTCTGGCCAAAGATTGAACTTCTTCGAGAGAGATTGTTTGTGTCCTTCCATAGAACATCGCATCTTTGAAATGCCCGTAGCTCTTAGAAATGGAATTTAGTAGTAGCAGAGCCTTATCCTCGTCATCCATCTTAACCTTGATGTTTTTGAGATCGTCGATAATCTTGTTGAAGTCGTCAATCTGCTCCGAGACTGATTTGTCCTCGTGCATTTTGAAAGAATATAGGCGCTGCTTCAGGAGGAGCCTGTTCGCCAGAGACTTCGTCATATAGAGGACCTCAAGTTTGCCCCAAAGTACTTGAGTCGTTGTCTCCCTTGAAACTTCCCTTAGAACCTTATCGTATCGCCAAGGCTAAGGATTATTAAGCTATGGGCCCTATCAAGAATCACGTTCTTCTCTTTCTCAGTCATGTCGGCTGGAAATGCCGCCGAGTCGTGCAAGGCTTCTGCAATGCCTTGCTGCACCAACAGGGTTTTCATCTTTACTCTCCACAAACCGAAATCGTTCTTTCCCGTGAAATTCTCGATGTCGAATTTTGCGGAGCCCATTATCACTTTCTTTTTCTCGATCTTAATTTGTTGTGAAATCTTGACCCGTCAAGAATCCTTTTATCGAGTTCCAAGAACACCTAAAAGAAAACCTTCCAAAGATCTCTATGTATTTAGTTAGATGATTGAGAACTAAATATATATATCCAAATCTTTCCAGCAAGAGTAGGATTACAAATTATTATAAATCTTGCCCCGTCAAGAATCCTTATTGCCAAGTTCCAAGAACACCAAGAACAGCTCCTTTTTGTACCTGAGGAATCAATCTGCTGCACAGGAGAAGGCAGAAGGAATGTTGAATTCCTCCTGATTTTGGACACCTGCGGGCTGCTTGACAGCCGAACTGCACTGTTCCTATAAGGAACTCCTTGCTGCAGACGTAGTTACCTTAAGGCAGCTGAACACCTTCAGCCCAAGAAACCGTGTAGACTATTCTTGCAAGAGAGTTGAACACCGCTGATTCCCTGCAGGTGGAACTAGCTGAAAGGAAAGAATGTCGATACCTTCCACCTCCTTAGTGCTGCCAAAGAACACTTGTTGTACAACACTTGGAGCGAAAGTTTATAACCGCAACAAATCAATAGTGGAAATAGAGAGGAAAAATTGCAGGAAATGAAAAAAAAAACGCCGAAGACACAAGCACAAGAACACAAAAGATTACGTGGTTCGGTCCTTAGACCTATATCCACGGAGGGAATCGCTACCAAAATTCACTAGCACAAAAGAAGAATTACAGGCTCATTTATTACAGGCTCATTTCATTGCTCATTTCATTGAGGAATCACCATGTCCCTCTAGATCTCTCTCTCTCTACAAGATCTAAGACCTCTCCCTCAATTCTAAAGTCTCTCCACTTCCTCTCCTTCTTCCTCTCATTGCTGAATTTTTCTTCCTCCCCTTGATCTTCTTGAACAGAATTTTCTTTCTCCTTGTGATAGTCTTCTATCCCACAAGACCCCTCATCTATTTATAGATAGATGAGGCCTCCCAAGAGGCATGAAAATTACAAGTGTGCCATTTTTCATAATTAAGAGCCATGATATATAACATAAACCAATGGTAAAGCCCATACGTGTCATCCCCCGGGAAGAAGCGTGCAAGGTGAAGAAACGGCTCTTTTTCTTCTTTGCTTCGGTTTTGGTGGCAAAGAAAAGAAGCTTCGGTTTTCTTTTGTCAAATCCATCCTCTCACGTGGCTAAGTGAGGAGAGAGAGAGGAATAGAGAGAAAGAGAGTTTTCTTGAAGAGTGTTTTCTTGTAATAGTCGAGGTGAATCGACGGATGTAATTCCTCAAAGTAATAAATCCTCGAACTACATATTTACAATTCTACTTTGTAAAAAAACAAAAATGGAAAAAATGCAATTCAGCACCAAAGCAAAAAAGAGAACAAATTAAAACAACAATTCACCTCAAAATGCTTGCCATGGTATTGCCCTGGCCGTTAAGTTGATCCTAATAACAAAGTTTGCCAAAAACTACATAAATATATTTAGTCTCAACTTCTGGTTCCTATATACATTAATCCCCCACAGTTAACCGAAGAGATGAAACCTCACAAAACAGTAGGAAAGCCAAGGATGAGTTGCCAGGAGATCGGCACGAATACGACCACTCATTTCTACCTCGTGATCGGCTCCCGAAGCTCGGCGCCATTGTTCAACATGCTACGAGAACGATATTGGAGATTGGAGGCGAAACCCAGATGAGTCTGAGGCTGAAGCACCATCCCAGGCCTGCCGCTGGTCGAAACACTCGTTATTTCCGAACAAGCTGAGGTGGCAGAAGAGATCACCGTGCCATTATCATAGCTTGCTATTCTTCCATGTTTCGGGGGTTCAGAACCAGAGAAATTATGGGATCCTGGGGCATCCTGAGTCTTCTTGGTGTTTAGGAATCTTCCTCCTGTTCCTCTAGCCCTCTTCATGGCATGGAGGTGACGAGATTCATGGAGATAAGGCTAAAAATATGAAAGTGTAAGAAATTTTATTTCATATGTTAGATGATGATAAAACCTTTCAGTGGAGCGACATAAATGGGACAAATATTTACGTACGGAGTACACACGCAGTTCTACATCATGCGTATAAAGGTTATTCGGCAGGTATTGGAGGATTATATCGGTGTTATTGGGGTTAAAACCCCCAATAACCTAACAAAACTTTCGAATAACAGCAAAAAAAAAATGAGCGCGGAACCACGGAATGAATTGGTAGGTTATTGGGGACTTACTGAGAGGTTATTGTAGTTAATACTCTCAAAACCTCTCAATAACCCCTAATAACTGACTTATTGGAAGGTTATTTAGGGGATTACACACGCAGAACTGCGTGACACTCCGTATGTAAATAGCGCCCCATAAATGAGGATGGGAAGTGAACGATTACCTTGCGGGGGTTTTTCGCAAGTTTAGTTTGAAACTCTAGCTTTGCGCGGTGCTGTCTTCTTCTTAGGATTGCGTGATATTGCTTAGCATTCACATATATTGGTTCTTCTCCTGTTGGTTGAAGGGGGAGCGCGACGCGAGTAGAAGGAAACGTGCCCATCATTTGAGGATGAATCTGATGATCAAGCATGAAAAAAGGCATTAGAAGGAATAGATTGTAGGATAAAACAAATGTTGGGTAGATTATAGTATTGTAAAATTTTTAAGTGGGATTTACATGTCACGTAATGGATATGTATTTACATATCTAACATTAAATCTTTATATTTATATAACATCTTGATGTCTGAATCAAGTCCAAAAATATAAATAAAAAGATGCATCTTACTTTAAATAGCTAACATCAATAATATTTTTGATGAAATAAGAAGATTTTTAAGTATCAGATATAAAAATTTTAAGTTTATGACAGTGGAGAAGACAAAAATTTTCAAAATAGGGCATACAAATTGTTTTCTTAGAGGGCAAGACTTGAATATATATATATATTTCTATTTTGGTCAACTGTACACCAAGTTCAGACAATTTCATTTTTCTGACCATGGAAGATTGAGCAAAATATTATTTTGCCACTGATTCATTTTTAAAACCCCCGCACACAAGAAAATCCACATTCAAAATCATTTACATAGCAAATTTGCACTGTTTATCAGAGCTTGGATGTGACAAGCATCACTCCACTCCACAGTGATCCATCTATAATTTTATCATCAAATGCAAAAATGGCAAAAATTTAGTGACAGCAAGGAAGATAAAACTCACAACAGCATGAGACCCATAAGTTGCCATGATTCCTGGATAGTGTGCATCCGAATAGGCATAAGGAACATAAGCCTGCTAGGAAAAAGACAGAACAATAATACGCAGCATAAAAAGAGAGGCACTCAATCTATACATCCACAAATTTGTACCCATGTGGATGGAAAATATCCTTAAAATTCAAAAAGAATGTTCATTAAAAAGGAGCATTTACATACATAGCACACAATTCTTATGTATTTACATATCTCACACCCAAACTTTCATTTTTACACACATAGCACTTGAATCTTTAATATCAAATAAAAAATGGCTCATTTACCAATTTTTAAATGTGAAATAAACCTTTTTCATGCATAGCTTTAAAGCACCAATATGCTATGTATGTAAACATGAAAGTTTAGGTGTGAGATATGTAAATACATAAGAATTATGTGCTGCGTGTGTAAATATCCCTTAAAAAAACATACAAGAGACTGGTTACAATCAAGTTTTTGAGGTGCATAGAAAAATTGGGTGCTCCCTGCCGATAAAAGCTGTTTTGGATGGCCCTGTTCAAGCTTCTCCTGAGTGTGTTCATCACCTGAAGTGAACAAAGTGTATGAATCATGAACAATGATCAAATTCATTGTAGATAACTAATGGAGACTAACTCATAACACCAAATAATTATCAAAATATATCTTTGATGCCCTCAAAGACTAAGTTATATCTTAACTAATTTACATCTTATTAAAATAGTATAAAAAAATGTTATGTAACAAAGCAAACATAAAATAAGCAAAAGTCCATTTTAATCACTGTTACAAATACCATGGTTCGTTTAGTTTTCTAAGTACTGCCATACAGCCAGAAGAGAAATATCACTGCACTGCAATTGCAAAAAAAATCAAATAAAAAAAAAGTGACAATCATAACCATTAATCGATGTCTTCATTTCAGTTTTATGAATCCTATCCACCAATCATAACGCTTTTATGCCTTAATCTAGAGCTAAGCAACTTTCCCCATGAAAAAATAAACTATAGTGCATACCAATCAAAACCAGCACCAGTAGAACCACCTCAGAACCAATCAAGTCGGCTTCTGCAGTCCTTTGTGTACAAGTCTTTGTACTCAAAGATCAGAAACACTAGAAGAACAGAATGCTTCATAAAATTAATTAAATCATAATAATTTAATTAAGTATATCAAATAAGTTAATGAACAATTTTCAGGCCCCTTCAAAACACCAGTAGGGCATATCAGATGGATGAAAGGAAAAGGGGTACGCGAGGCGGTTCACAAAACAATGAATATGTATCAAGTAAAAGTGAACTGCATCGATTCCATAAAGCCAGAAACTCTCAAAATGAAATGAAATGCTGGACCTAGGAGAACAAGCATAGTGCAAATATTTCAAGATATTTAAAAAAAAGTAAAAAAAATGTAAAAAAGAAACAAAATAAATAAATAAGAATAACACCACAAAGCCGGAAATTGATAAAAAGACCAAGACAAATCAAGCAAGTTTTCATTGTCTCCAGGACAAGGGTTCTACATAATCACAGGCATGATAATTCAAAATTCTTCTCATTAGTTCAAACAAATTCATAGCACAAATTAAATAAAGGGGGTAGTTAGTTACAGCGAAAAAATGCATTCATACACCGCTTCAACCATGAAAGAAATACAAACTTTCACGATAACAGATAAAACAATAAAAACTATAAAAGAAAGTAAGAGTTAGTCCATTTTAGTAAGAAAATCAGAGAGAACCATATCAAGAAAATAAACCATAGAAGAGGACCGGGATACCTTTTTGGTCCACCTTATAATGACTTGCACCAGATTGTGCTGAGAGACACCGTTCCTTGAGGTTATCGTCTCTCTTTCCAGAGATTTCATGATGAGAATGTCCTGTGGACTGTGTTGATGATGACTCTTGCTCCAAAATTGGATTTCCATCTTGCTTTAACTGATTTGAAGCCACATTGTTCAAGTTGGCATATAAGTTAGTGCTAGTAGGGTACAACACAATATGAGGCCCAGCCGAATTCCACCATGGAATGCTATTACTAAGATAGTTGTATGTTGATTGAACAATATTTTGCTGCGACTCCTTATTGTTCATGTTTAGCATTCCAGTACCTTTAAAATTCTCACAGGACATATTTCGTACTGCATGTGAACCTTTATAAATAAAATAGACAGCTATCTTCAAATGCTGCAATGTTTTCAGAAAACAAATGGAAATCTTGAGCATAATAGAATTAATCAGCCAAAACTGTTAAACAAGATTACCCAAGAGCACAGACAAAATTGAAAGCACTCTATTTTCATAAATGATATTAAGATGGTTAATTCATAAATTTTCAAAGTTAGTTTAAACTTGTCAACAAGAGACAAAAGGTAACACTTTAGCATACAAATTTTCATGCTTGTTTCCGGAGTTAACATAAACCACAAAGAAATGATAAATATTAATGGTGAAATTCAAATGGGATTACAAACAAAGATACTTGAAAATAGAAAAAACAATGACACAAATACAAAGAGCCCCTAGGGCGAGGTTTGAAGGTGGTGGATTGCATGTCGAGATAGTTAAAACGGAGAATTAAAGGTGGTAGAGAGGTCTAGCGGCAGCACAGAGAAGTGGGCTTGCGGCTAGACAACAACTAGGGGAGGATTAGTAAGGGCGACTGATGTGTAGAAAGAATGTTTAAATTCTTTTATACCTTACACATTTTTTATAGATGAAATTGTACTTTAAAGAAATGTATTTTCATAATTTTCTTACAAGTACAACAGGTGTTGGAAGTGGAGCAATGTGGAGGAGACTTGGAGCAAAGAAGCATGCAATCGACTGGCGCCTAGGCGCCAACCGAGAGGATGGCGCATAACTTAGTGTCAAGGCGCCACGATACCGGCGCCAAGGTGCCCATACATTCCTCAGCAAACTAAAAGACTGGCGCCCAGGGGCGTCTAGGCGTCAGCAACTGCCAGGAGCAGTTTTGGCCGTTCGGGCAGCCTGATGTGGGGAATCGTGGGGAGTTGTATAGAAGATCATGGGAGGCTTTTATGTTGTTGTACATGAGTCTATAAAAGGGAGGTATCAGAGTTGTTGATGGACTGATGCAGGTAGGACTTAGGATTTGATGAAAATGAGGGTTTGATTGAGTATTTTGGGGAGAATTGAGTGACAATGATAGAAAAAGTCTATGAGTGCTGTAGAGTTTTGTTCCTTCTTCTTCCTGAGTTAAGAATAGGGAAAAACTTCAGGAGCAGCAGCCAAGAAAGTATTTGGTGGAGCATCTTCAGGTTGTTGTACAGGAGATGAAGATAAGCGATTCTGTATTTCATTTGTTGTATTTCTTTAAACACGTCATTTAGTGGAATTCTCTTGTTTTCAAATGAAGCTTCGTGGTATTTTTTTCCCGCTGTCTGAGTAATACTATTTACCTTACTTTGATGAGTAGTACTCTTGACCTTATCTTGATGATTGAGTAGAATGTGTAGGATTGCAAAATGTTTTCAAATTTTTTTTCTTAATTATTTAATGTGATGATTAACCTTCAGATCTTCGTTTACTTTCATTCTGGTTAAGTGAAATGTTAAAATGCGTTGTGAATCATAATGACTTGGGAGAACTATGGTTGAGTCAACTAGGTTAGTCATATTGAACTGTGCTAGGGAAATATTCTTTGATGAGTTCAAAACAGGATTTAAGAAATTAAAGTCGTTTTAACCAATCTTCTTTATGCACTCGAGAAAGAGTAAAGAAGAGAGTTGCTCTTATTTAACACTAGCCAAATTTATAATAAACACTTTACATTTCCTATACTCCACTTAAATCATTCCAACGGAGGGTAACTTTAGAACCTGATATTCATCAATCCAATAACTAGGTTATGTAGGATAAATGTAGGACACTTTAAAATTATTTGCGATACAATAGGATTAATTTGTAGAATTTTGTTATATTCTAAATTCCAAGCTACGAACGAAAGTTGACTAAAACTTTTCCTAAGCCTAATTCTCTCGTTCCCTGTGAGATTGATATTCTGAACTCAAAAATCTAATATTGCTGATACGACACCTACACTTGCGTGAGCCCCCAGAGTGTGAGTGCACATGGAAGCGGTTATCAAGTTTTTGATGTTGTTATCGGATCAACGGTGATTTAACCTAGGAGAATTTTATTTAAACCTCCACGTCTTAAACTTGGAAAACCTTTAGTGTTAATTGTTTGCGTTTCAATTGTTTTTACTGTTTTTGAAAAACCAAGAAAAATAAAAAATATTTTTGTGTGATTGTGTGTGAATCTTACCTATCAGATTTTCTAGTTTGTGTATGCGCAGTTCAAGACCTACAGGACTTAAAAGAGACTTGAACAACTCATATGAGAGATGGCAAACAACCCACATAATAACCCAGAAATTCAGAAACCAACTCACGCGCCAATTCATAATGTACATAGACTATCAAGAGACTATGCTAAATTCACTTAAGCATTCAGGTCCCTGCCGTCGAATCTAACACATTCAAACTGAAACCTTTTATTATCCAAATGGTGTAGAACAATCAGTTTGGGGGAATCTTGTATGAGGATCCAAACTTACACTTAGCAGTTTCTTAGAATTTTGCGCTCAATTTTGTAATAATGGTGTATTTAATGACGTTATTAGGCTTAGGCTTTTCCCTTTCTCCTTGAGGGATAAAAGTCAAAATGTGGTTAAATTCATTAACACCTGGATCAATTGAGAAGTGGAGTAATTTAGCCTAGAAATTCCTGGCCAAGTATTTCCTGCCTTAAAAAACGACAGAAATTCCTAGCTAAGTATTTCCCGCCTTAAAAAACGGCTAAATTGAAAAATGATATTACTTCATTTTGCCAATATGTAGGTAAGTCGATTTATGAAGCTTGGGAACAATTAAAGAAACTTCTTACAAAGTGTCTCCATCATGCGTTGTCCGATTGGTTGAAAATTCAGACTTCTTACAATGGTTTAGTTGAATCTCTTAGGTCTATTATAGATGTCGCCGCTGGTGGTTCATTTATGCCAAAACCATTTGAAGAGGTTTATTATCAAATTGAGCAGATGGTTACAAATAATTTTTAATGCCTTCTGAGAGAATAAACCCTAGAAAGGTAGCGAGTGTTCACGACACGAATGTGCTTTCAATTTTAACTTCTTAAGTTGTTGTTATTTCTAGAAAGATGGATCAGTTTGGGATGAACCAGTCTTGAGGATCACAAGTCATTGAGGAAAATTCATTCGGACAACTGGTTAATGTTAACACTTCATCTTTTGAGACTCTAAATGTAATTAACAACAGGACAAACAATCAGTATCTTAACTATTATAATCCCAGTTGGAAGAATCACTTTAACTTCAATTGGAATAACAATCAAGGTGCAGGAAACCAACAATAGGAGAGAAATCAACCTAACCCTTTTGGGAATTAGAATAATCAGGGTAATTTGAACCCGAGACCTTCTTATCCTCTGAGATTTAAGTCTAACCCACAATTCAAGGAGAAGTTGTCTTTCTAAGAAGTTTTTTTGCAAATGAGGAATCAGTTACAAAGCCATGGTGCAGCTATTAGGAACATTGAGAACCAATTGGGACAGATTGCGAACTCACTTAACAGCCAACCCCAAGCAACTCTTCCTAATAACACTGAGATCAGCCCTGAAGAGAAGAATAATGAGCACGTAAAGGTTGTCAAGTTGAGAAGCCGAATAGAGTTGGAGGACATGGTCCAGAATGATTCTGAGGTGGAGAAAGAGAACATGGAACCTAAAAGACCGGTAGAAAATCTTTCTAAAAATTTAGGAGCACCAGTCTCACCAACGACCACGGGAGAAAATTTTGATCGAGGATGAAATGACGGACATTGAGGACGAATCTACTCTATTGGTTGAAAAAAAATCTGAAGATAGTTAGGGTGAGGTTTGAGATACTTGATAGAAAATTGTAAAACTATTGTTCCTTCTATTGAAGAACCCCCCGAACTTGAGTTGAAAGTGCTTACTAAATATTTGAAGTATGCTTAATTAGGTAAGTCATCTACATTGTTAGTTATCATATCCTCAGATTTGACTAATTCACAAGAGAAACAATTAATAAATGTCTGAGGAGCTTTAAGAAAGCGTTTGGATGGACCTTAGCAGACATAAAGGAGATCAGCCCTTCGATGTGCATGCATATGATCCTAATGAAATAAAATCACAAACTCCAAGCATATCCTCAAAGAAGATTAAACCGTGTTATCTGTGTTATGAAATAAGTTGTGAAGAATGAGATTTTGAAGTAGCTTGTTGCACTCATTATCTACCTCATTTCAGATAGTGTCTAGGTTAGCTCTATCCATTAGGTTCTAAAGAAAGGATGAGTGACTGTGTCAGTAAATAAACATAATGTGTTGATTGCTACTGGACATGTCATTGGGTGGCATATATGTATCGATTACAGTAAATTAAACGCAACCACAGAAAAGATCATTTTTCTTTACCTTTCTCAGATCAAATATTAGATAGGTAGTCGACCACCCATATTTATGCTTTCTGGATGGGTGCTCTTGAGGATTAGGATAGGACAAAATTCACAAGTCCTTATGGGACTTTTGTTTTTTGAATAATGTACTTTAAGTTATGTAATGCACATGCTATGTTTCAACGATGCATGATGCCAATTTTCTATGGCCTAATTAAGAATGTGAAAGAAATTTTTATGAATAATTTTTCAGTATTTAGCCCTTCATTTGACTCTTGATTGGATCATGTGGCTAAGGTGTTGAGGACACTTTGAAGAGACCAACCTTCTTCTCAATTGTGAGAAATGATAATTCAGGGTTTCTAGAAAAATTGTGTTAGGTCATAAAATTTCTGAAAGAGACATGGAAGTGGACCATGCAAAAATTAAAGTTATTGAAAAACTTTCCCCACCTACTACTGTGAGGGGAGTTAGAAGTTTTTTATGGCATGCTGGATTTTATAAAAAATATATTAAGGATTTTTCAAAAATCCCTAAACCTCTATGTCATCTTTTAGAAAAGAATGTTATATTTTATGTTGACCGTGTATGTCTAAATGTCTTTAATACTTTGAAAGAAAAGTTAAGTCGCGACTCATATAATTGTCTCACCTAATTGGAGGAGACCATTTGAGTTAATATGCGAAGCGAGTGACTACGCTATTGGGGCAGTTTTAGGACAACGACA